ATGTAGCTTTGGGGTTAGACTCAATCAAGTTGCTTTGCTTGACGAGTAAGGGCAAGACATGTTTTGGGTTTTGTGTTCTCCCCCTCATTTTCTTGTTTTTGGGTGTGGAATTTCTTTGAAGACAGTGACGCAAGTAAATTGTGAGTTAGTTTGTTTTTGACATTGTACTTTTGAGAAATTAGGTGGGCTCTTAGCTGGACCAAATTTCAAGGTGGGTAGGTAGATGCATGCAAGTGTGCGCAGGTATATTATCAAAGGAAGTTTAGTTAGAAAACTTCCGTAATACAAAAAGTAGAGTCAGACATTCTATACACGCAAAGGGTACCCCTGTTCAGCGTGTGGTCTCGCCACAGTCCCGCCACGTGCTCGGAATGTTGCCCACTGTAATGCTCGCGCAGACGCTTTCGGAGGTCAATTTTGCGTGGCAGGCGCAGCACTTTGGCAGATTTCTTGGCAGGCGCCGCATTTTGTGCCCGTGCAAGGTCGGGTACAGATTTCCTGGCAGGCGCAGCACGTTCGCAAGGTCAAGTACAGATTTCGTGGCAGGCGCGGCAATTTCGAAACGTCACGTGATAGAGAGAGAGATGGATAGATAGATCAAATGGGAAGAGAGAGAGAGAGAGAGAGAGAGCGAGAGAGAGAGAGACAAAGACAGAGACGAAGGTGTAAATCTCGCGGCAGGCGCAGCACTTTCGCAAGGTCGAGCGCAGATTTCGTGGCAGGTGCAGCACTTTCGCAAGGTCAGGTGCAGATTTCGTGGCAGGCGCAGCGCTTTCGCAAGGCCAGGTGCAGATTTCGCGGCAGGCGCAGCACTTTCGCAAGGTCAGGTGCAGATAGATAGGTAGGTAGATAGAAAGAAAGAAAGAAATAAAGAGAAAGAGAAAGGAATAGAAAAGAAGAAAGCACGAAAGAAAGAAAGAGAGAGAGAGAGATGCAGATAGATAGATAGAAAGAAAGTAAGAGAGAAAGAAAGAAAGAGAGAAAGAAAGACAGAAATAGATAAATAACTAAATAAGGAAAGAGAGAGAGAGAGAGAGAGAAAGAAAGAAAGAAAGAAAGCAAGAAAGAAAGAAAGTGCAGATAGATAGCTATGTAGAAAGTAAGAAAGAAAGTAAGAAAGAAAGAAAGAAAGAGAGAAAGAAAAACAAAGACATAAAGAAAGAACGAAGGAAAGAAATAAAGAAAGAAATCAAGAGATAGAGAGAGAAAGAGAAAGAGAAAGAGAAAGAGAAAGAGAAAGAGAAAGAGCAGGAGAAGTGCAGATAGATAGCTAGATAAAAAGACAGATAGAAAGAAAGAAAGAAAGAGAGAAAGAGAAAGGAAGAAACATAAAGAAAGTACGAAAGAAAGAAAGAAAGAGACAGAGAGATGCAGATAGATAGAAAGAAAGTAAGAAAGAAAGAAAGAAAGAGAAAACAAAAGAAAGAAATAGAGAAAGAAAGAATGAAAGACAGTAAGAAAGAAAGAATGAAAGAGAGAGAGAGAGAGGCAGAGACAGAGAGAGAGAGAGAGAGAAAGAAAGAAAGAATGAAGGAAAGAAAGACAGAAAGAAAGAAAGAAAGAAAGAAAGAGAGAGAGAGAGGGAGAGACAGAGAGAGAGAGAGAAAGAAAGAAAGAAAGAAAGAAAGAAAGAAAGAAAGAAAGAAAGAAAGAAAGAAAGAAAGAAAGAAAGAAAGAAAGAAAGAAGGCGAGAGAGAAGCAAGAGCGAAAACAAGACACTCATGCCACGACCTAGAGAGAAGAGAAGAGAAGCGAAGAGAAGAGAAGACGCGATAGCTCTAAGCGTGTCAGCCAGTGCCAGCAGGTCTTGAGCGACATAGCAAAAAAGGCGCGCCTTGTCTTGACTCTCCCTGTTTTTAGTTCCCCCCTGTCAGTTTGGGGGTGTAGCCGGAGCCACTCGAATGGGGGAAAGGTAGGGCACTGATCTTTTGCATACAGTGTGTTGAGGCCAAAGAGAAACTCTTACGGTAGGGGGTCCCTGTCTTAAACTCCCGCGGTTTTGACTCCTTCTGTTAGTTTGGGATTGTCTTTTGCGCACAGCGTGTGGAGGCCAAAGATACACTCTTCGGGAAGAGGAGAAGGAAAAGGAAGGAAAGAAAGAAAGAAAAAGAAAAAGACAAAGAAAGAGCGCAACCAAACAAACAAGTCAAGCTCTTCCTATAGGCACTTTTCTCGCTTTAGAAACTTCCGCCCACCGGCTCCGCCGGCTCTACTGGTATATATATATATATAGCATATATATATATATATAATATACGTATATATGTACTACTTGTAAATGACGATGTAAGTGTATACATAGCCCCATGGCCAGGTGCAGCTGCGTCCAGCGTGGAAGGCTGGGACAGTTCTGGGTGTAATTTTGCTCTTGTGGATAAGAGCACGAGATGGGTTTTTGACATTACACACAGTTGACAGCATCGCAAAGGTACCTCACGCCAAAGGGCCTTTGCGTCCTTTCAGCCGCTACTCAGGGGTCTAGTGCGAACGCCACTGACAGGATGTGAATTTCAGGCGAGCTTCTCATTTTGGCTTTTGCCAGAGATGGGGGTGGCAGAGGCTCCCGGTGGAAGCGCATGTTTGCGATTTGCTGGATGCTACATGACTGTGGGCCCTTTTCAGAGACACAAGAGGCAAACTTGGTGGTTCCCAGCCATCCTTCCAGGTTTTTGCTTGTTTTTGTGTCGTGTTGTGTTGCTTTCTGTGGCTCGGCCTGCTTCTCTTAGGCTATTCCAATGAAGGCGGCGTGTGGTTGCTCTACTTGTTGTAGACCAGCAAGGATTTGTGCACAAGGACCCTTTGACAAGTCTTACTTGCAGTTTGCAAGTTAACATCATTTTCAGATGGCTTTCGACAGAACCATGGCCACTGTTGGTTGAAATGGCACTTGGTCTGCTTGACCGCGTCTCAGGCATTTTCGATTGCATGGAGCCACCCACCTGCAGGCAACGGCCGCTGCGCCCAAAGAGGAGGCTGCGCCGGCTGAGGCCGGTTTTTGTATTCACTTGCGCTGAGGCTGGAGAGTGTCCAGTGTGAATTGAGGGCGGGTTATAGATGTTTGTACCTACGCCTGGTCTTCTTAGGGTTTTCTCGTGAAGACCACGTGTGGTAGCGCCCTTTGCCAACTCGCGAGGGGTTTGAGATGTACAGCATCAGAACAGGACCTCTTAGTTTGAGATTGTCTTTAAACAAACAAAGGATACACATGTCAGTGCTTGTTGATATGGCACCTGGACCGCTTGATCGCAACTTTGTCTTTGAGGATTGCAAATTGCGACGTGTAGGCAAAGGCCGCTGCGCCCAAAGAGGAGGCAGCAGCGGCTGAGGCCGGTTTTTGTATTTCCGGTTGCGCAGACTGGTGAAAAACATGTTTTGGCTGTCGCCGAAGACACGTTAGACACAGAACAGAAGGACAAACAGAGCTCAGGAGCAAAGTTAATGCAATGTCAAACCGTTCAACGGGCAGTTTGTATTTTTTTAAAGCCACTCAGGGGCCAGCCGCGAAAACTAGGGGTAGGCTGGCAGCACGTGTTTTGTTTTAACGACACGCAACTAGCTAATGCTCCCGGCCGACTTGCAAGAGCTTTGAAACTCACGTCATCAAGCTTGCAAGAGCAGAGGCGCCGGCCGAGGCCGGTTCGTATTCTGTTTGCGCAGGCTGAACACGTGTTCAACACAACTGGCACGGCTCAAGTTGTTTGCGAAGGGCGCGCAACGCTGTCATGCTTGCCAGGATTTGCCAGGGTTGAGGCATGCATCAATGCATGATAGTTTCTATGCACATGTTTTGCGAGTTACTTCATGTGGGCAGAGGAGGCCCGGCCTGGTACAGTCTTTTGGCTTGGGCCAATTACACTTGTGAACATAATATGAGTCCCCGTTTGCGCCTTGTCGTCCGCACAATGCCCTACCGCCAGACCTGCACCTTGTTGCTCTTTGGAGGTGTGTTTTGTAGTCCAACTTCGGGGGGGGTCTCCCAAGATCAACTCTGGGTGTTTGGGCCTGGGTCAGGTGAAGCCCGCGCCCGAGACGCCAAAAGCTGAGGCGCCCGCTTTCATTGGCGCCCAGGTCTCGCAATGCAATGTATGCCTTCCCCACCTCTTTCCACCCCATATCTTGCCTCCAGCGTCTGATGAATTTGGCGTTTTGTCCGCATCCCCAAATCCATAAATCCCGCCCAAACCCATCCAAACCCATCCAACCCCCCCAAACCGCACTTAGAGGCATTGTGCTAGCAAGGAGAGCACACACTGTCACATTCCGAGGCTGAGGTTTAAGCCACAATCATGTCTTGACAAATTGGAAGCTCACCGATTCGGGGTCGGCCCCAGGACGAACGTCGTCCCTTACTTGTGGATTTCAAATGTCCGCTTTCTGAATGTAGTGATTTGCCGATCATCCGACTCAGCACAGGAGAGTAGGGACAGGCCCCTTGCAGCCGGAACCTGCCCTTTGGGGTATACCGTATACCCTTTGGACAGGTGTTCATTGTGACAGATTTGGTCATGAAGAGCAAGGCTTGGTCCAGGAAGCGTTGCAAGCATGCGCCATTTGTTGCCGGAATGTTCGAAGCGGACATGGGGGGTTATGGACCACTATTGACGCTCTCTGAAAAGGTCCTTGGTCCGCGACATTCTCTTTTGGACCGCACTGCGTGGGCCAATTTCGGTTCGTTGACCGGCTTCTGACTTCTTCCGTTCGACTTAACTTCTCACCTGGGGGACATCGATTAGCAAATGAGTTTGCAGTCGATTGCGGCATGTTGACTTTTTGTTGCGGTCGGTTGTATTGAAACTAATCTGTCCGTGTCTTTAGTGATTGAATCCCATTTTGAATTTGAGAATGCACAGGTCCCAGGCTATCACCTTTTTCTGTGTAATTTCGGAACCTTACAATGACAAGGAACAACTTTTGTGGTGTGAATGGACGCCGTGCGATTGGCCGCAGCCATTGAAAATTCCATAACTTGCATCCCCTTTGCACGCCACTACCCGGACTCCAAAACTTTTGACTCAGCGTGGTGGTGGTGGGTGCAGTTCCAAGCGGTAGTAGGTGTAGCAAGAAGCCTTTGTTTGTTTTTCCCCCTACACATGTTGGGCGGGCCGGATTGGGGCGGAAAAAGCATGCGATGGCATTGGCAATTGTCTTGCTGGGTGCTTTTGTATCACTGCAGGACATGTTTGCCCAAAGTCGAAAGCCACCGTGACATTTGGAGATACGTTTTCGTTGCAATCATCGTTTAGGCATTCATAGCATGTTCCAGGAAGCATTTTGCAACTGGCAGACTCATACCGGGCAGTCTTGGATCTAAGGCAGACATGTTTAATGGAATCTTCAGGTATGGATGTTGGAGGTATGGAGGTAAAAGACCACTTATATGCGGATATAGCTTGCTCCGTCCATGCATAAATATACGAACCCCCTGAAACCTACTGTTGTACTGGGGGACACTCATCAAGTAGCCTAGCTCTCTAATGTCACCAACATAGCACCTGCGGGTATCAGTTCCTCTTGAAGGAAACCTATATCAGGTGTCATGTTGTGTTCGCCAGGCGTTTTTGCAAACTCTTGTCTACTCTCATTATGGATGAACAAGCAAAACGATCTTGTGACTTTTCATGGACAAAGAATTCAGACCAACATGAGACTAAGATGAAACCATGAAGCTCTCAAGATGAGGCAAAAACAGGATTGAAGTGAGACTAAAACTCCAAAAGTGCGATTCCAACAACCAGAATATAAGATTCAAATGAGACTTGAATGCGACTAAAGAGAGACTGAAACAATACAAGCTTCCAGCAGCGAAGCTCCGAACAAGTACAATGAGACTGCACGGCTTCAGGCCATGCCGGTACTTCTCGCGAGAGAGCGAGACGTGAGGCTGAAGGAGCGAGTGCCCGAGTTGCTGGAGTTGCTAATTGGACTGGAGTCCTGGGGTTTACCATGCTCGTGGATGGTTGCGAAATCCGCTTCTCGCAGAACCGAAATCAGAAACCCTTTCCGGAATGCTTCGATCCAACGCTATGGTTTCAGCATTTTTGTTTCGCGGGTGCACGAAGCAACCGTCTCTCATGTTTTTTTTGTCCGATGTGTTTTGTGGCTCCCAAAATCAGCTTCCCTCTAATTGGTGGTTTGGATTTGGATTTGATCCCCTGGCTTCTGTAGAGGGTAGACGGGAACCACCAAACCACCGCTTCGGCTCCGAAAAGCAACGAGGGAAGCCCTGGCATCCAAAAACCGAGACTCGGGTTCTCGGGTTCTCGCGCCAGCTCACCGTGCCGGTGAGCCAGGCGCGCGGCGGGTTCGGGTTGAGGGATGGCGGGTTTGGCGCGGGTTCGCTTGGGTTGGAACTGAAGCTGGAAGTGGAAATGGTTGGGTTTTTGAGGTCTGGTTCTTGAGGGTAAATGGGGGAATGCAGTTTGGGGTGCTGGTGCCTGTTTGCATCTTGACGGTAGGGTGCAAGGGGGCATGCAGCCTAGGTGGTGGTTTGGGATTCTGTTTGGGGTGCTGTTGATTTTCGCAAGATTGGCGGCTGGGTGTCCTGGGGGGTGCTGTTTGGGGTTTTTGCTCGATTGACGGACGGGTTTTGCTTGGGACGTTTTTGAGGGGGGTGCTTTTGGAGGTGCTGGTGTGCAAGCACTGCTATCTGGGGTCTATGCTGGTGTATTTTTTGTTGTGACGGGGGGGGGGGGTCTGAAGCAAATCATCATTTCAAGACGGCCCCTGAATTATTGTGTTTTTCGTCATTGTCTCCAATTACTTTTCCCCTTTGTCTGATTGTTTAAACAAGATACGCAAATCAAGTTGAGTTTGGAGGTTCAGGTTTTGCTGCAATTGTGATCTTGGGTGAGCAGTTGGGCTACTGGCTGGGCCAAGTTTCCAGCAGCCATGTAGCTTTGGGGTTAGACTCAAGTTGCTTTGCTTGACGAGTAAGGGCAAGACATGTTTTGGGTTTTGTGTTCTCCCACTCATTGTCTTGTTTTTGGGTGTCGGATTTCCTTGAAGACACTGACGCAAATAAATTGTGACTTTTGGGAGTTAGTTTGTTTTTGACCTTGTACTTTTGAGAAATTAGGTGGGCTCTTAGCTGGACCAAATTTCAAGGTGGGTAGGTAGATGCATGCAAGTGTGCACAGGTACCCCTGTTCAGCGTGTGGTCTCGCCACAGTCCCGCCACGTGCTCGGAATGTTGCCCACTGTAATGCTCGCGCAGACGCTTTCGGAGGTCAATTTTGCGTGGCAGTTGGCAGATTTCGTGGCAGGCGCCGCATTTTGTGCCCGTGCAAGGTCGGGTGCAGATTTCGTGGCAGGCGCAGCACGTTCGCAAGGTCAAGTACACTTTCGAAACGTCAGGTGATAGAGAGATAGATGGATAGATAGATCAAATGGGAAGAGAGAGAGAGAGAGAGAGAGAGAGAGAGAGAGAGAGAAAAAAAAGACAGAGACGAAGGTGTAAATCGCGTGGCAGGCGCAGCACTTTCGCAAGGTCGAGCGCAGATTTCGTGGCAGGTGCAGCACTTTCGCAAGGCCAGGTGCAGATTTCGTGGCAGGCGCAGCGCTTTCGCAAGGCCAAGTGCAGATTTCGCGGCAGGCGCAGCACTTTCGCAAGGTCAGGTGCAGATAGATAGGTAGGTAGATAGAAAGAAAGAAAGAGAAAGAGAAAGAGAAAGGAATAGAAAAGAAGAAAGCAGGAAAGAAAGAAAGAGAGAGAGAGAGAGAGATGCAGATAGATAGATAGATAGAAAGTAAGAGAGAAAGAAAGAAAGAGAGAAAGAAAGACAGAAACATAGATAGAAAGAAAGAAAGAGAGAGAGAGAGAGAGAGAGTGAAAGAAAGAAAGCAAGAAAGAAAGAAAGTGCAGATAGATAGCCAGATAGGAAGAAAGTAGGAAAGAAAGAAAGAAAGAGAGAAAGAAAAACAAAGACATAAAGAAAGAACGAAAGAAGGAAATAAAGAAAGAAATCAAGAGATAGAGAGAGAAAGAGAAAGAGAAAGAGAAAGAGAAAGAGAAAGAGAAAGAGAAATAGAAGGAGAAAGTGCAGATAGATAGCTAGATAAAAAGACAGATAGAAAGAAAGAAAGAGGGAGAAAGAGAAAGGAAGAAACATAAAGAAAGTAGGAAAGAAAGAAAGAAAGAGAGAGAGAGAGAGATGCAGATAGATAGAAAGAAAGAAGGCAAGAGAGAAAGCAAGAGCGAAAACAAGACACGCGTGCCACGACCTAGAGAGAAGAGAAGAGAAGCGAAGAGAAGCGATAGCTCTAAGCGTGTCAGCCAGTACCAGCAGGTCTTGAGCGACATAGCAAAAAAGGCGCGCCTTGTCTTGACTCTCCCTGTTTCAGTTCCCCCCTGTCAGTTTGGGGGTGTAGCCGGAGCCACTCGAATGGGGGAAAGGTAGGGCACTGATCTTTTGCATACAGTGTGTTGAGGCCAAAGAGAAACTCTTACGGTAGGGCGGTCCCTGTTTTAAACTCCCGCGGTTTTGACTCCTTCTGTTTGTTTGGGATTGTCTTTTGCGCACAGCGTGTGGAGGCCAAAGATACACTCTTCGGGAAGAGGAGAAGGAAAAGGCAGGAAAGAAAGAAAGAAAAAGAAAGAGACAAAGAAAGAGCGCAACCAAACAAACAAGTCAAGCTTTTCCTAGGCACTTTTCTCGCTTTAGAAACTTCCGCCCACCGGCTCCGCCAGCTCTACTGGTATATATATAGCATATATATATAGTATACATATTTATGTACTACTTGTATATGACGATGTAAGTGCATACGTAGCCCCATGGCCAGGTGCAGCTGCGTCCAGCGTGGAAGGCTGGGACAGTTCTAGGTGTAATTTTGCTCTTGTGCATAAGAGCACGAGATGGGTTTTTGACATTACACACAGTCGACAGCGTCGCAAAGGTACCTCACGCCAAAGGGCCTTTGCGTCCTTTCAGCCGCTACTCAGGGGTCTAGTGCGAACGCCACTGACAGGATGTGAATTTCAGGCGAGCTTCTCAATTTGGGTTTTGCCGGAGATGGGGGTGGCAGAGGCTCCCGGTGGAAGCGCGTGTTTGCGATTTGCTGGATGCCACATGAATGTGGAAAAGGGTCAGAGAAGAAAGAGGCAAAACTTGGTGGTTCCCAGCCATCCTTCCAGGTTTTTGCTTGTTTTTGTGTCGTGTTGTGTTGCTTTCTGTGGCTCGGCCTGCTTCTCTTAGGTTATTCCAATGAAGGCGGCGTGTGGTTGCTCTACTTGTTGTAGACCAGCGAGGATTTGTGCACAAGGACCCTTTGACAACTCTTACTTGCAGTTTGCAAGTTAACATCATTTTCAGATGGCTTTCGACAGAACCATTGCCACTGTTGGTTGAAATGGCACTTGGTCTGCTTGACAGCGTGGACAGCTTTGATTGCATGTTGCCAAGCGCAGGTACCGGCCGCTGCGCCGAAAGCGGAGGCTGCACCGGCCGAGGCTGGTTCTTGGGTTTGCTTTGAACTTCCACGCAGGCCAGAGTAGTGACCATTGCGCATGGCGCACGTGTTGTGTTGCTTTTTGTGGCTAGGCCTGGTTTTTAGCTTATTCCACGGAAGGCGGCGTGTGGTAGCTCAGAGCTCTCATGGGACCCTGCTGGGAAACATACTTGTTGAAGGCCAGGGAGGATTTGTGCACAAGGACCCTTTGACAACTCGTACTTGCAGTTTGCAAGTTAAACTCATTTGGTTGAAATGGCACTTGGTCTGCTTGACCGCGTCTCAGGCATTTTCGATTGCATGTTGCCACCCACCTGCAGGTAACGGCCGCTGCGCCCAAAGAGGAGGCTGCACCGGCTGAGGCCGGTTTTGTATTTCCGGTTGCGCAGACTGGTGAAAAACATGTTTTGGGCGTCGCCGAAGACACGTTAGACACAGAACAGAAGGACAAACAGAGCTCAGGAGCAAAGTTACTGCAATGTCAAACCGTTCAACGGGCAGTTTGCATTTTAGTAAAGCCACTCAGGGCCCAGCCGCAAAAACTAGGGGTAGGCTGGCAGCACGTGTTTTGTTTTAACGACACGCAACTAGCTAATGCTCCCGGCCGACTTGCAAGAGCTTTGAAACTCACGTCATCAAGACAACAGCTACGGACCAGAGATCCCTCCCAAGATACAAGCCATAGCATAAGGCCATACATAGCTGGAATGCAAGCAAGAAGGGGGTACCCTGCGTGGGCACAACCCCAGGGACCCCTGAGTATGTCACTTGCAGGTAAAGGCCGCTGCGCCCAAAGCAGAGGCGCCGGCCGAGGCCGGTTCGTATTCTGTTTGCGCAGGCTGAACACGTGTTCAACACAAATGGCACGGCTCAAGTTGTTTGCGAAGGGCGCACAAAGCTCTCATGCTTGCCAGGATTTGCCAGGGTTGAGGCATGCATCAATGCATGATAGTTTCTATGTACATTTTTTGCGAGTTACTTCATGTGGGCAGAGGAGGCCCGGCCTGGTACAGTCTTTTGGCTTGGGCCAATTACACTTGTGAACATGTATGAGTCCCCGTTTGCGCCTTGTCGTCCGCACAATGCCCTACTGCCAGACCTGTACCTTGTTGCTCTTTGGAGGTGTGTTTTGTAGTCCAACTTCCGGGGGGGTCTCCCAAGATCAACTCTGGGTGTTTGGGCCTGGGTCAGGTGAAGCCCGCGCCCGAGACGCCAAAAGCTGAGGCGCCCGCTTTCATTGGCGCCCATAAATCCCGCCCAAACCCATCCAAACCCGTCCAACCCCCCCAAACCGCACTTAGAGGCATTGTGCTAGCAAGGAGAGCACACACTGTCACATTCCGAGGCTGAGGTTTAAGCCACAATCATGTCTTGACAAATTGGAAGCTCACCGATTCGGGGTCGGCCCCAGGACGAACGTCGTCCCTTACTTGTGGATTTCAAATGTCCGCTTTCTGAATGTAGTGATTTGCCGATCATCCGACTCAGCACAGGAGAGTAGGGACAGGCCCCTTGCAGCCGGAACCTGCCCTTTGGGGTATACCGTATACCCTTTGGACAGGTGTTCATTGTGACAGATTTGGTCATGAAGAGCAAGGCTTGGTCCAGGAAGCGTAGCAAGCATGTGCCATTTGTTGCCGGAATGTTCGAAGCGGAAAGGGGGGGGTTATGGACCACTATTGACGCTCTCTGAAAAGGTCCTTGGTCCGCGACATTCTCTTTTGGACCGCACTGCGTGGGCCAATTTCAGTTCGTTGACCGGCTTCTGACTTCTTCCGTTCGACTTAACTTCTCACCTGGGGGACATCGATTCGCAAATGAGTTTGCAGTCGATTGCGGCATGTTGACTTTTTGTTGCGGTCGGTTGTATTGAAACTAATCTGTCCGTGTCTTTAGTGATTGAATCCCATTTTGAATTTGAGAATGCAAAGGTCCCAGGCTATCACCTTTTTCTGGGTAATTTCGGAACCTTACAATGACAAGGAACAACTTTTGTGGTGTGACTGGACGCCGTGCGATTGGCCGCAGCCATTGAAAATTCCATAACTTGCATCCCATTTGCACGCCACTACCCGGACTCCAAAACTTTTGACTCAGCGTGGTGGTGGTGGGTGCAGTTCCAAGCGGTAGTAGGTGTAGCAAGAAGCCTTTGTTTGTTTTTTGCCCCTGCACATGTTGGGCGGGCCGGATTGGGGCGGAAAAAACATGCGATGGCATTGGCAATTGTTTTGCTGGGTGCTTTTGTATCACTGCAGGACATGTTTGCCCAAAGTCGAAAACCACCGTGACATTTGGAGATACGTTTTTGTTGCAATCATCGTTTAGGCATTCATAGCATGTTCCAGGAAGCATTTTGCAACTGATCTAAGGCAGACATGTTTAGTGGAACCTTCAGGTATGGATGTTGGAGGTATGGAGGTAAAAGACCACTTATATGCGAATATAGCTTGCTCCGTCCATGCATAAATATACGAACCCCCTGAAACCTACTGTTGTACTGGGGGACACTCATCAAGTAGCCTAGCTCTCCAATGTCACCAACATAGCACCTGCGGGTATCAGTTCCTCTTGAAGGAAACCTATATCAGGTGTCATGTTGTGTTCGCCAGGCGTTTTTGCAAACTCTTGTCTACTCTCATTATGGATGAACAAGCAAAACGATCTTGTGACTTTTCATGGACAAAGAATTCAGACCAACATGAGACTAAGATGAAACCATGAAGCTCTCAAGCTGAGGCAAAAACAGGATTGAAGTGAGACTAAAACTCCAAAAGTGCGATTCCAACAACCAGAATATAAGATTCAAATGAGACTTGAATGCGACTAAAGAGAGACTGAAACAATACAAGCTTCCAGCAGCGAAGCTCCGAACAAGTACAATGAGACTGCGCGGCTTCAGGCCATGCCGGTACTTCCCGGCCGCGTCAAGGCGCAATTGGGTTGTCGGGAGAGCGCTATAGACGTGAGGCTGAAGGAGCGAGTGCCCAAGCGCGAGTTGCTGATTGGACTGGAGTTCGCGCTTTGAACTTGACGAGTTTGCGAATAGAAAGACTGAGACAGGGGTTGGCCGGATTGACCCGCACTGCGTGATTTGCGGAAGTTACTGCTTAGACTGGAGTCTTGGGGTTGACCATTCGTGGCAACCATCCGCTTCTCGCAGAACCGAACTCAGAAACCCTTGCCGGAATGATTCGATTCAACGCTATGGTTTCACCATTTTTTTTTTTCGTTGGTGCGAGAAGCAACCATCTCCCATGTTATTTTTGTCCGATGTGTTTTGCGGGCTCCCAAAATCAACTTCCCTCTAATTGGTGGTTTGGATTTGGATTTGAACCCCTGGCTTTTGTAGAGGGTAGATGGGAACCACCAAACCACCGCTTCGGCTCCAAAAAGCAACGAGGGTCCTAAAACCGAGACGGGTTTTCGGGTTCTCGCGCCAGCTCACCGCGCCGGTGAGCCAGGCGCGCGGCGGGTTCGGGTTGAGGGATGGCGGGTTCGGCTCGGGTTCGCTTGGGTTGGAACTGAAGCTGGAAGTGGAAATGGTTGGGTTTTTGAGGTCTGGTTCTTGAGGGCGAATGGGTTCTTCCTCTCGGTCACGCCAGTCAGCAGCCAGCCTTTTTCATCAAAGATCCTGATGTGCGGGCGACTGCTGATCATGTCGGGCCAACCTCCAAGATTATTCGGACGCGGGAAATGCAGTTGCATCGGAAGGTCCGTTCTCAAGCGCTTGGGCTTTCCGGGTTTTGCTTGCGGCATTCTTCAGGGGGTGCTGGTGTGCAAGCACTGCCATTTGGGGTCTATGCTGGTGTTTTTTGTTTTTGTTTTGGGGGGGGTCCTGAAGCGATTCATCATTTCAAGACGGCCCCTGAAATATTGTGCTTTTCGTGATTGTCTCCAATTACTTCTCCCTTTTGTGTGATTGCTTACACAAGATACGCAAATCAACGCAAATCAACTTGAGTTTGGAGGTTCAGTTTTTGCCGGAATTGTGATCTTGGGTGAGCAGTTGGGCTACTGGCTGGGCCAAGTTCCGACTTAAATTGCTTTGCTTGACGTTTTGGGGAGTAAGGGCAAGACATGTTTTGGGGTTTTGTGTTCTCCCACTCATTTTCTTGTTTGTTGGGTGTGGAATTTCCTTGAAGACAGTGACGCAAATAAATTGTGACTTTTGGGAGTTTTTTGTTTTTGACATTGTACTCTTGAGTAATGAGTTGGGCTATTAGCTGGACCAAATTTCAAGAAGCTAGGTAGATTTGGGGTTGGGCGCGGATAGGTAGGTAGATGGGTGTATGTGCAGGCAAGTTGGGTGGGTGGGTAGATGCATGCAGGTGTGCACAGGTATATATATATATATATTATATATATATATATCATATAGCATATATATATATATATACATACATATTTATGTACTACTTGTATATGAAAATGTAAATGTATACATAGCCCCATGGCCAGGTGCAGTTGCGTCCAGCGTGGAAGGCTGGGACAGTTCTGAGGGTAATTTCGCTCTTTGGATAAGAGCACGAGATGGGTTTTTGACATTACACACAGTCGACGCGGGAGCGTCGCAAGGGTACCTCACTCCTAAGGGCCTTTGCGTGCTACTCAGGGGTCTAGTGCGCACGCCACTGACAGGATGTGAATTTCAGGCGAGCTTCTCATTTTGGCTTTTGCCAGAGATGGGGATAGCAGAGGCTCCCGGTGGAAGCGCATGTTTGCGATTTGCTGGATGCCACATGAATGTGGAAAAGGGTCAGAGAAGAAAGAGGCAAAACTTGGTGGTTCCCAGCCATCCTTCCAGGTTTTTGCTTGTTTTTGTGTCTGGTGGTAGTTTCCAGTAAACCACCAAATGTTAAACACTTTTTGCAGCTGATCTGGAAGGAGGAAAGAAAAGTGTTCTTGGGCGGGCCTCATGGAACAAGTCTTCGTTTGGCCCAAAGTAAAGAACCCCCCGGAAGGTCCGAACACCCTCCGCCCCGTTTTCTGCGAGCGGGCCTGAAATGAGAGGCTCGAATGGTCTTTGTTCCAGTCCGAAAGTGGCTTTCTCTTTTCAAGGCACCAAGGGCCCGTCTCAGTAGTTCAAGAGCATTGCGGGGGGGCCTTGGTAGGCAGATGATGGCGCCCCCAGGCTTTGAGCAAATGGAAGGGTTGAACAGCTCTCGTCCGCCGGATCAGATTCGCGGTTTCGTTTGCGAGATGAGCATGCGTGTTGGGACGCGTCTCGCATTGGCACTGGCAGCCGTGGACTGCTCTGAGTCTTCACGTGCTGGCTTCGTGCGCCCTATCAAATGGGCCCGTCCTTTTTTTGCGTTGGTACCCCGGTTTGGTGGTTTTTGCAAGGGAAGCCAAAAGGAGCAAAGCGTTTTTTCCCCCTATCCAAGGGTCCAAAATGAATCAAGGGTCCAAATTGCCGTCACACTCAAGCTGCTCGTGCGCTTCGGCCCAAAGCTTTTTCGCCAGTCTTTGGTTTAAGGGTTATTTGGGGGCTTGAAGCCCCGTGCCTCGGCACACAACGTGTCCCGACTACAGTTGGTTCCTCATTTTTTCAGGGGGGGTGTTGCTGGCGATGCTCGGGGTGTTGCTGGTGATGCTGGGGGGGTTGCTGGCGCTGAGGCCTTATAAATGCTTGGGCAAAACTGTAGTGTTTCCATTTATCACAACTTATCCTCATTGAACCTTCTATAATCTTTGATGAAGAGGGAGGCTTAAGGGAGGACAGGTGACTCCATTTATCACAACTTGTCCTCGTTGAACCTTCTGTACAATTGATGAAGAGGGAGGCTTAAGGGAGGACAGGTGACTCCATGTATCACAACTTATCCTCATTGAACCTTCTATAATCTTTGATGAAGAGGGAGGCTTAAGGGAGGACAGGTGTTTCCATGTATCACAACTTGTCCTTGTTGAACCTTCTATAATCTTTGATGAAGAGGGAGGCTTAAGGGAGGACGGGTGGTTCCATTTATCACAACTTGTCCTCGTTGAACCTTCTGTAAAAAAAAATGAAGAGGGAGGCTTAAGGGAGGACGGGTGTTTCCATTTATCACAACTTGTCCTCGTTGAACCTTCTATAATCTTTGATGAAGAGGGAGGCTTAAGGGAGGACGGGTGTTTCCATTTATCACAACTTGTCCTCATTGAACCTTCTATAATCTTTGATGAAGAGGAAGGCTTGGGGAGGTTGGCAACATGTTGGCAACTATTGGCTAGCACGCCAAAACAAGCCAAAGTTCCAAAGTTCAAACAAGCCAAAGCAACGGTTTATCCATGCATGGCCTGCCCGAAATCCTTTGACGGTTTGACCTTTGCTTGTGCCCCGCCCCCAAAAGTCCACCGGCCGGCCCCCTGCCAAACTCGCGTGCGTGGGAATTTTTCACAGCTTATGGAGCATTTTCATTTTCACGCGTTTTGCTTTGTCCTGTGAAATGTTCCATAAGCGAAAATGAAATATTCATGCCAAACACAGCTTATGGAACTTCACAGCTCATGACATCGCATAAAACCGTTCTTCGCTCGCTCTACGTCCTCGTTCCTCGTTCCGTTCCTCAATCAGGCAGTGGTCACAGCAGTGGGCCGGGCCTTTGAGGAGACCGAGGAGGCCTGGTCGCCTAGGAAAGCCTCGAGCCGAGGCCTCGAGGTGGCCCTTTTTCTGTGTATACAGTGTTGCAAGGACTTATATACAGGGGGCCCTTTTTACAGTAAGCCCTTTTCCTCAGTAAACCCAAGGACTTACTCGAACGTTTCTGAGTGTTGAACAAAAATCTAATTGTTGGATTGGTGCCGCAGTCCGGGACAACAGTTAGAAACAAAAGCACCCGCTGAGAAAAGATGTATGTCCGTGACTATAATCTTGAACCCCATGTCCAGGATGCCGTTTTGCGAAGGATTTGTTCAATATCCAGGACGCGGTTTTGCGAAAAAATTGGTTCAAAATACAGGACGCCGATTTGCGAAGGAACTTTTCCAATATCCAGGACGCGGTTTTGCGAAGGATTTTGTCAACATCCAGGACGCGGTTTTGCGAAGGATTTTTTCAATATCCAGGACGCGGTTTTGCGAAGGATTATTTCAAAATCCAGGACGCGGTTTTGCGAAGGATTTTCCAATATCCAGGACGCGGTTTTGCGAAGGATTGTTTCAAAATCCAGGACGCGGTTTTTCAAAATCCAGGACGCGGTTTTGCGAAGGAATTTTTCAATATCCAGGACGCCGGTTTGCGATGGTGTTTTTCAAAATCCAGGACGCCGGTTTGCGAAGGATTTTTTGGACGCGGTTTTGCGAAGGATTATTTCAATATCCAGGACGCGGTTTTGCGAAGGATTCTCCAATATCCAGGACGCGGTTTTGCGAAGGATTGTTTCAAAATCCAGGACGCGGTTTTTCAAAATCCAGGACGCGGTTTTGCTAAGGAATTTTTCAATATCCAGGACGCCGGTTTGCGAAGGTGTTTTTCAAAATCCAGGACGCCGGTTTGCGAAGGTGTTTTTCAAAATCCAGGACGCCGGTTTGCGAAGGTGTTTTTCAGGACGCCGGAATCCCAGGACGCCGGTTTGCGAAGGTGTTTTTCAAAATCCAGGACGCCGGTTTGCGAAGGTTTTTTCAAAATCCAGGACGCCGGTTTGCGAAGGTGTTTTTCAATATCCAGGACGCCGGTTTGCGAAGGTGTTTTTCAAAATCCAGGACGCTGGTTTGCGAAGGTGTTTTTCAAATCCAGGACGCCGGTTTGCGAAGGTGTTTTTCAAAATCCAGGACGCCGGTTTGCGAAGGACTTTTTTCAATATCCAGGACGCCGGTTTGCGAAGGTGTTTTTTCCAAATCCAGGACGCCGGTTTGCGAAGGTGTTTTCAAAATCCAGGACGCCGGTTTGCGAAGGTGTTTTTCAAAATCCAGGACTCCGGTTTGCGAAGGTGTTTTTCAAAATCCAGGAGGCCGGTGCGAAGGACTTTTTTCAAAAGCCAGACGCCGGTTTGCGAAGGTGTTTTTCAAAATCCAGGACGCCGGTTTGCGAAGGTGATTTTTAAAATCCAGGACGCCGGTTTGAGAAGGACATTTTTCAAAATCCAGACGCCGGTTTGCGAAGGAGTTTTTCAAAATCCAGGACGCCGGTTTGCGAAGTGTTTTTCAAAATCCAGGAAGCCTGTTTGCGAAGACTTTTTCAAAATCCAGGCCGCCGGTTTGCGAAGGTGTTTTTCAAAATCCAGAGCCGGTTTGCGAAGGACTCTTTTTGCGAAGGACTTTTTTCAAAATACAGGACGCCGGTTTGCGAAGGTGTTTTTTCAAAATCCAGGACGCCGGTTTGCGAAGGTGTTTTTCAAAATCCAGGACGCCGGTTTGCGAAGGTGTTTTTCAAAATCCAGGACGCCGGTTTGCGAAGGTGTTTTTCAAAATCCAGGACGCCGGTTTGCGAAGGTGTTTTTTCAAAATCCAGGACGCCGGTTTGCGAAGGTGTTTTTCAAAATCCAGGACGCCGGTTGCGAAGGTGTTTTTCAAAATCCAGGACGCCGGTTTGCGAAGGTGTTTTTCAAAATCCAGGACGCCGGTTTGCGAAGGTGTTTTTCAAAATCCAGGACGCCGGTTTGCGAAGGTGTTTTTCAAAATCCAGGACGCCGGTTTGCGAAGGTGTTTTTCAAAATCCAGGACGCCGGTTTGCGAAGGTGTTTTTCAAAATCCAGGACGCCGGTTTGCGAAGGTGTTTTTCAAAATCCAGGACGCCGGTTTGCGAAGTACTTCCTTAGGACCTGAAGCCTCGGTTCGGACCTCTCAGGCTGCAGCATGAATTTGAGAAGAATCCCACCAGGATTCATCGCAAAAACAAAAATCGATTTTAATGGATTTTGAAAAACACCTTCGCAAACCGGCGTCCTGGAGATTGAAAAAAGTCCTTCGCAAAACCGCGTCCTGGATTTTGAAAAAAAATCAATCATCATGTTCATCATGTTCATCATGTTCATCATCATCCCTCATCATCATCGTCATCATCATCATCATCATCATCATCATCATCATCATCATCATCATCATCATCATCATCATCATCATCATCATCATCATCACCATCATGGGTTGGGCAGTGGCCGCCCTTTTGAGCGCTCAGGAGGTTGAGACACAAGCGCCCGAGAAGCGGGTCAGGCGCGCGCCTTATTTTGTCCAGCCGTGTGTGATGGCTGAGCCATTTTTGGGTGGACCGTAGCAGGGTTGGGGTAAAACTGTTCGAAAACCGCTGCCGTGAAGGGGAAACCAAGGAAGCGTGTGCAAACAATCACCTGGAACCCGCTTTCTAGAAATGAGGCTCCAAGTATAGAAGTTGTTTTCCTAGAGCGGGATCATGTTTTTCCCGTTTTGAAAGGTGCTCCATAGAAAATTCCTTCTTCCAGAAAAAAATCCGCGGGGCGCGCGCGGGACAACGCATACCATGCTGGGTTTGTTGTGGGTGAAGGTCCCAGATCAAAGCCTTAGCCTTTACTTGTAAAGGGTGATTCATGTAAGACGCAATACGCGATTAAGTACTGGACATCGAGACTTGACGGTGCTAAAGTAAGTATTGAATTCACCAATGTAGAATTGGCAGTACTAAATCAAGTATTGGCAAGCCCAAGCAACACCCTCCCGATTCTCCACTAAAGAGGCTTCACATGACTGTTGGCACTGTTCTAGGGGGGGCAGGTCATACATTTTCAATATGTTTCAGGGGACCGGCAACAATATCTTGCAGATGAACGGGTCTCAAGTCACAACGAGCTCTGGGGGAAATTCGAGCTCACCCCTGAACGCCCTTTACTGAAATGGCAGTGGGTCGAAATTAAAACACCAAGTGACCACAGGTAAGATTGTCCTTTGGTTCTATTTACTAGGGCCCATGTTGGGTTGTCCCTATTTTTTGACCCACAGCCACATGTTTCTGTTATCTCCATTTTTAACATTGAAATGAACCTTTGCAACTAGATAGGGGGCCCAACGGGTTTGGTTGAAAAGAAACGCCAGAACCGGTGCCCACAGGTTGCGCCAATGAACATCCAGTGGTAACATGTCGTTTCCAATGACATGGAGCCCAAGGATCTTTCAAGCTCTAAACGCAAATGTAGATTCTTGTGGGGGTTTGTGGGTTGGAGGTTTGGCTGTGCTGGCTTGGGCCAAACCCTTCCGCGGGACAGTCTCAATCGAGAGGCGCGGATATTCCCCCAGCCCTGATCCTTGAGCAAATCGTTTTTTCCCGAAAGCATCGCGAAGGGTTCTTTGGAAAAAGCGGTTGCCGGCTACAGCTGACTTACGCAGCGTGGCTGACACAGCGTGACTTACGCAGCCTAGCGCTGCGTGACTTGCTCAAACTGCCGTATCGCCCTCGCTGTGGCGCCGTGCGAATTTTCGACTTCACCGACGAGCCCTCTGCAGAGATTGCGCGTGTCGGATCGCTCTCGCTGTGGCGCCGTGCGAATTTTTGACTTTGCTGACGAACTCTGCAGAGCTTGCAAGTAGTACAGGAAGCACGCTTCTACTGAAAACTTGCGATTCTCAGGCCGGAGCTGCGGGAGCGTGCTTCGTGTGCTACTTTTGTAATTACATTTTACCAAAACCACAGCGAGAGCGATCCGACACGCGCAATCTCCACAGAGGCATTTCTCAGGCCGGAGTTGCGGGAGCGCACTTCGCATACTACTTTTCTATACTTAAGGCTTGCGATTCTCAGGCCGAAGCTGCGGGTAGTATGCGACCTACGCTCCCGCAGTCCGGCCTGAGAATCGCAAGTTTTAAGTATAGAAAAGTAGTATGCGAAGTGCGCTCCCGCAATTCAGCCTGAGAAATGCACATTGTCAGTAGAAAAGTAGTACGCGAAACACACTGGCGCAGCGGAGCAGGCGGTGGCGCTCTTCAAGGAGATGTACCTTTGGATGATCCAGACATTTGGCGCCGGTCGATGCGTGTTCGCGGACAACTCCCCCGTGGACAAGGTATCGATGAGCTACACTGTTCTCTGGAACGCGTACAAGCGGATGACGAGGGAAGCAGGGCTCAGCAAGGGCGGCGCCGCGAAACGAGTTTACAGGCTCTGAAAAAATCTGACTCTTGACGCTGACCCTGGGTTCCAGATTTTTATTTGGGGAGCACTTAGAAACGCGTATGTATTTTTAATGGGCTCTCTAAGATTCAATGACGTCAAAGGGTCCTCCAATTCCGGCTCTTTCCCTTCCCACACCCAAACACTTGTCTCCAACCATCATGCGTCGTTTTTCTTCTTCTTCTTTTTTCTGGATTGCAGGGGTCGAGCTCCGCATCGAGTGGCGCAGTTCGGGCCCAAGTCTCGTCTTTCTGAAAGTGGGAAAGCAAATATTGACTTCGGATTTAAACGGGAAGGCCGTACTAATCAAGGGGCTTTGGCACTCTTTTGTACTCCGGCAACTATACCTGTGTTCATGGGGGGTTCTCCTGACCAGGGTCCAAATGAAACCAAAATCATCTGCCAGGCTGCTGGGTGGTCGGCTTTCCTTCTGTCGCGGCTATCCGAGTGTTGTGGTCGAGGGTCTATTAGATGCACTCCTTGCGTGGCCAACAGTTCGTGGCAAAGAAGTTGAGATCTTTTGGAGCGCCCCGCCTTGCTCCAAGGGGCCTTTTGCGCCTTGGCTTCTTGGGGTACCTTGGAACCTCCCCATTGCAGAGCCCAAGAAGTTGGAACTCTGAGAAGTTTGTTTGTTCTGGCTGCTGGGAAACCGGTTTCCGAGCAGGAGAAGAACGCCGCTTGACAGTCATCCACTTGGATTGGGAGTAGACAGGGAGTGGAGAACACATTTGGTTTAGGGGGGGGGTCTTTTCCGGGATCCTAGTTTTTCGCCCGGGGCTGGAAAATGAACTGGCAGAATTTGAGTGTTTTTGGTTGAGTTCACGTATGGGTTTGAGTGGTTGATTCAAAATGTCAAAAGGCAGGGGATGGCTAGAGGGCAGAGATTGATGGCTTGGGAACATGTTTCCTCCAATTGAGGTTGGGATGCGGCCTTGTTAACTCGCGCGCGAGCGAGTTCGGAGGAGTCACGAGATCTCTCCAGTTCATGTGATGATCAGCAAGCATGTGGATGGCTCCCAATTCCCGCTGTTCCTGCCAGAATTTCTCCTCTTTGTTTTGCTTCCCTCGAAACATTCGAAGAGCCCAAGAGGCGTCCCCTTGAATCTCGAAGGTCCTCAGGTTTCATGTGTGCGGAGGGCGAAACCATGTCTCCAGCTGGCGATGAACTTCAACCGGCGCAGGAGTTTGTCCTATGTCTAGAAGATTGGTGTACATGGTTGTTTCTCAAAGTAGGGTCCCCTTTTTGGATGGTTTTACGAGGAAACCAAAGGACAGAACACCACACAAATAAGGTCCCGGTGTAGGATTGTCCCATGTCCAGATGATTGGTATATGTTCTAGATGTCTTTATGGTACCCCCATGGACCCAGTATGTGTGTCTGTGTGTGTGTGTCTGTGTGTGTCTGTGTGTGTCTGTGTGTGTCTGTGTGTGTCTGTGTGTGTCTGTGTGTGTCTGTGTGTGTCTGTGTGTGTCTGTGTGTGTCTGTGTGTGTCTGTGTGTGTCTGTGTGTGTCTGTGTGTGTCTGTGTGTGTCTGTGTGTGTCTGTGTGTGTCTGTGTGTGTCTGTGTGTGTCTGTGTGTGTGTCTGTGTGTGTGTCTGTGTGTGTGTGTGTGTGTGTGTGTGTGTGTGTGTGTGTGTGTGTGTGTGTGTGTGTGTGTGTGTGTGTGTCTGTGTGTGTGTGTGTGTCTGTGTGTGTGTGTCTGTGTGTGTCTGTGTGTGTCTGTGTGCCTGTGTGCCTGTGTGTCTGTGTGTTGTATATTCTTGTTTGGCATCATTGAATTTGAGGCAGACAAGAGATCTATATATGTATATATACAAAAGTACTGAAAACATACATACATATATATATATATTTATTTTAAACTGTATGTGGCTATATATATATATATATGTACGTATTTATCATGTTTATGAAGAAGACTCCCTCCCCCATCCCCGTTACCACGGACAGGAACCCGTCCCTCAGGTCTCATCACCGAAGCCGGGCGAGCGGAAGGCAGGGGCTGTTCAAGGGAACGGAGGGGCGGGGGGGGGGGGTGGGGCGGGGTGGTCGGCAGGCAAGGGGAGCGTCAGGTGGAAGGCGGGTTTGTCTCAACACCTACCGGCGAGTAACAACCTCATCAGCTCGCACGTGAAGTCAGCCGCCTTGCTCACTGTTTGGTGCAAGAGTGCCTTTCAAATAGAGATGTTCCTCCAAGTCAAGAAAGGATACTGTCAAAAAGGCACACCCCGAGTTTACCTCGTTGAGTTGGCTGGTTTTGCAGGGATGAGCCAATGAGAGCCATGGATGGCGAGCAACTGAAAGGGAAAGCCCAAAGGATCTTATCCAAGCACCATGTGCTTTTTCGCAATGTTGGTTCCGTCAGGGAAACCTGAAAGAGGTTGCTAGCCACAATCGCAGGGTTGGGCAGAATCTGTTTAACCCAATCCGTGGTCCCCTTGTGAGGGAATGTGAAAGGAGCTTCCTCACAAGCCACTTCCCCAAAGCAAAGGTTGATCTGGCGGCTTCCAAACCCATCGCTTTCGAAGTTTCCAAAGTGTTTTTGGGGGCATGTACTTTTATCATAGCATGTTTCATGCCAAAGCCCAACGCGGCTTTTGGCTCAAGCTTTTACCACGTCAAACTACGCCGCCATAGCGGCAGTGGCTGCTTACGGCGTCGCAACTCGTCCTGCCCCTGGAAAAGGACAGGCCGAGCTTCGCGGCGGTAGGCACGTCTTCTGGTTGTGGGTCGGTGTGTGTGTTTGGTGGTGTCCGCATTGGTTTGCTCTGCTTGCTCACTGTGCGCTGCATTGTTTGCCTGCCTGGTTTGCTGCTTTGTGCTTGCTTTCGGTTGTCTCTGCCCTTGCTGGGTTTCTTTACCTTGTTACAACTGGCACCCTGTTTTGGTTCGTGTTTGGCCAGCCGAGGGCACCGCTTTGCCCTTGGGACTGGGGGACTTAAACAATCTCTTCTTGTTGGTGGGATTGGGCCTGTTTATTCTCTCCCGAAACTCTGTTTCAAACCCTTTCGCAGGTTATCAGCCGTAGGATTCGTCCTCGGTTGGCACCGCGAACCCCTTTCTAACAACCCTGCAGGCATCGTAGGGTAGTGTAAATAGTATGGCGGGAATCACTGAGGATGGACCTCATGTGGTGACCGATGAATGGGTTCTCGGCCAGGCCGGAATCTTGGACGTTGTGAATGACGACCAAGTGCCCGGACAGCCGATGTTTTCCGGTCCTGACTTTTTGTCGGACCACACTTTTTCAGAAGCAATGCCTTCAGGAAGGTCCAGTGCTACTCGCACTGATGACCTATCGTCTAATGCCTCAAGAGCTAATCGCTCTCAGGGTCATGGGGCTAATCGTCCTGACCATGATGATTTCGTCTCAGGACGTGATGATGACGAGCCCGGTATTGCACCTGGAGCTCAATCCTCATCTTTCCCGGAGCTGATGAATATTGGTCAGTCCGAGTTTCGTGACTCTCGAAGTAGCAGTAGACCTGTGCCAACCAGTAGTATAGTTTTTCAAGCGCTCGGTAATCCCGAACCTGGTACATCCAGTGGAGTTGCATTTGATGTTCATCTGCCGACCGAATCCGGTGGGCTCGATTGGAGAGCCTCATGGCCCAACGACGGAAACATTTTTGGTATGGATTTTGCCGCATGGATGCCAGGGCCACCTGCCCCGTCATCTTTCCCGCATTTCCAAAGCCCAAAACGGGCTGCTGGAAGCGACGAATTCATGCTACCTTTGTCAATTGAGAATCTCAATCCTGACGTGGCCAGCCGTAACGTCAGGCCGAGGCCGTCGGTAAACCCGACCATGAGGAACATGTCCCCTCCCCCAGGACTCTCAGGATTTGAGAGCCCTAGGGAGCGTAATATCGTAGATAGATTGGATTTGCATCCCAGTCCAACCCCAAGCAAACGATCAAGGTCAAATTCGACTGGATCGCATAGGGCAAGGGGGATGGATCGGGAAACTGCCCATAGGGGTAACCCCAATACGCGGGACTCAGGGCGCGGTCGATCGGGTGACCCAGCGTCGATCATTGGTAGAGATCCGCTAAACGCGGACACGATGATTAACGTGCTTGATGGGATCGAGGCATTCCAGGAGGAATTCAATAGGTCGAGTGGCCCGAATGTACAGCCTTTTCGCCCTACGCCCAATGCGGCTTCCTTTCTCGCCATTGACAACACAGACGGAGCTGATGTTCCGATTGAGTCTGAATCTATGATGGCATCAAGTTCGAATCACAACAACACCGTCGGCAGCGCTACCGATGTTGAATCGATGTCTGAGTCTAGAGCGTCCAATGCGACTGATTTGCATGACGTTGTCATTGCTGATATGAAGCCTGAAGTCCCTATGCGGACTGATAGGCCGGTAGTCCCCAAATTGTTTGTGACAAAGGGTCTAGGCATGCCACAGCCATCAGCTGTTCGTGATGCCAGAAGATCTGCGCCGTATCAGAGTCAGTCTCCGAATCGGAGCGAATTCCCACGGCCATCAACGGCGGTACAAGATGATTTCAGGACGCCTCCGAGATCTAATCCGATCATGGTTGATTTGTCCACCCCTCGAGATCGCGGATCAGGATTTGGTCCTGCGAGTGAGGAGCAACCCAACGAGGTTGCTGATCTTGTAACAGCCCTTGAAAGAGGAAGAGTGGACTCTTCGGTAAGTGCGATCATTCATCGCCTGGTTGCTAAGGTCGAAGACCTAGGGCGTAGGAATGATAGAAGTGATCAATGCATCAAGCAGCTCTCCACTGAGGTTAACTCGTGGAGGGCCAAATACGACCAATGCGTCCATGTGAACAGCACGTGTACGCAGGCTGCGAACGCGGCCATGCAGCTGTCACAAGGGACTAAGGACATCGTGACCGAGCTTGGCCAACGCGTCAAGATCGTTTCCAATCGCATGATAAGCATAGGCGATGCCCTAAATGAGCGAGCCAGCTATGATGATGTTGCTCGCTCCATCACCCAGGTTCAAACTGTTTTTGAATCTCTTTCTGATCGAGTAACCGGGCTTATAGCTCGTGTTGATATGATCGAGAGATCTCTAGTGGAGAGCCAATCCAACCATCCTGCGATTGGTGGAGTAAACCTCAAAATCGAGGACCTGTCCACTAGGGTATGTCAGATTGATAGGATGATGCAAGATGTCGAACAATGCTGGACAAATAATAGGGACGGCATAAAGTGGGTTAAAGACCAACTTTATGAGACACAAGCCAACCTTGAGATAAAGTCGAGGGACTGCAAGTCCTACACGGACAAGCAAAATACTCATAACATGGCCGTTTCGACTACGCTCAACAGTAAGCTCGAGCAAATGCTCGAGGTGCTGGGTAATACGGCCCAGAGAATTAACTCCCTCGAGTCAAGGCACTCGAATCAGGCATCAGGTAGTGGATTGAACGATCGCACAGGAGGAAGGCGTGCCGCGTCCCGTACTCCGGATAAGCGGCCACCTCCACCTGGCCCTCCTGATGATGATCCTCCACCACCTCCTCCTCCAGATCGGCAAAGCCCAGGAGGAGGGGGGAAGAAGAGTGCCGCCGGTGGGAACCCTGGCGACCCTGGTAAACCCAGATGTAAATACGTAGGTGATGGTTATAATCACCTCATGGCCGAGTTTCACTGCAAAGGATGCAGAGGTGATATTTGTGAGTATTGTTTCTCGTTCAAAGAGAACTTGTGTGAAGAATGTTCCCGTAACGGACCCCGATGCGGTGTCTGTAGGGAGAGCTCGTTCCTGACCAAGGGAATTGAGTGTCAGTTTTGCAAGACCTACTACTGCACCAGACATTCTGCTGGGCAGGATGACTACAGGAGATTTGGATTTGTCCAGGGTCCCTGTTGTCTTGCGTGCCTCAGGGATGAAACTAGGAGAAGAAGATCCCGATGGTAACCGTGTCAGGAATAGATCGCCTGGAGGCGTACCCGAGACGAACCCGACGCGGTCGTACTCGCCGCCTCTGCGGCCACCCGTTGACAGATTCCGTGACACTCCAACTGGGGGTCAACCCAACGCGGCTGACCTTCAGAGTCCTCCGAAGGCTACGCAACCCGTGCCTCTGGATAAACGTGAAACCGGATATTATCCAGGATTCGATCCAAACGGTACAAGGCCGAAGGATCCTTCAGGCCTTGAGCCGCCGACCATGCGTGGCCCCGATCCTCCTGACAAGAAATGTCGGATGTGTGATCGGGATATTCCTGACCCCAGAAAAATTGAGGAATGTAAGATATGCATGAAAAGGGCATGTGAGATTTGCATTCCGAAGGCTACTCGCCTTTGTCCTGTATGTGCATTGTCAATCGGTAGTTCTCAGGTTCCACAGCATCTTTTCGGAACTGGTGGCGGCGGGTACGGTAGCCACCATGATCCGAACTGTACAGCTGCGACTAAGTGCATTCCCATAGACCTCCCGCCAGAGCCCGACGCGGCTGGGCTGAGGGTATGGATAGCCAATATGAAGGAAGCTGTTAGCAATGCCTACAGCTATGATGGACTTTACGTCATCAATTGGCTAACTGAAGTCGAGAAGGCAAAGACCTTTGATGAACTGGATGGGGAATGTAAATACCACATCCTTGAAGCCAGGTTCAATGCAGCCATTCGGAAGTGCATCAAGACTGTTGCAATTATCGATAAAATTAATCGTCTCACCGAAGCCGCTCAACGTTCCAACAATCGCATCAAGAGTAGGCAGATCCTGTGGCTCTTATACGACCACTTAAGGACTGCAAATATCGGAGAGCAATCATTCAGGATAATTGAGCTCTCGAACTTGCGATGCAGTGTTTCATCTTTCTATACTGAAGAGGAGCGACTTGAAAGGTTCATCGCGAAGTGGGATCACATCCTTGCGGGTCTCGATGAACCGCTGACCGAGCAGGTAAAGCGGTCGCTATTCAGTGAGAAGGTTAGACACCTCAACTGTTTGGCTCATGATATCAGGGAATGGGATAGGAACATATCCAACCCTGATGTT